AAACTATCAATTAGCACGAAGTTAAAGTTACTCTAGCAATCAAAGGTAGGCCTTATCGTCATCGGAGCCACTATATAGGGACTCATTTCTTAAGATTTTAAGGTTGAGAACATCTAGACTATTTATACCTCTAAACAGCTCTAATAATATCAGCTTTATTTGGTTACTTCTTTTATTGCAGGATTCTTACCTGAGAACTATGAACATCACAGCAATTTCCTAAGCTGATATTATTAGAGCCTTTTAGAGGTGCAGATTTATAATAAATTTCTCAACCGTAAACCTTTAGAACTGAGTCCCTATATATAGCGGCTTTGATGACGATTAGGGCCTATCATTGATTGCCAGAATAATTTTTAATTAGTGCTAAGTAATATCTTTTCATAGCAATTTCATAAGCTGATATTATTATTAGAGGTGTAGATCTATAATAAATTTGCTAAAGGTAGACAAGCTAGAGCATATTTCAAATGAAACTATTACCAAGTCCAGCTGTGCCATGGCCATGCACGCACACCATGCATGCTGACATAGGCAAGGCGCTGTCAGTGTGTGAGGAGCTTCGCATCGTACCCTTTCGCATCCGTAAAATCTTTACAAGCTAGTGATTGACAAGATGAGATCTAAAAAGTGGGGAAAAAATTACGCCCCCGGCCCAAGCCCTATGCCCGATCGAGCCTAATTGACGGACACGAGTTTGCAGTTCAAAGAAGCATATTGATATCGCGCTGCTAGCTCATGAGCTCGCACGCACGATCCGAGATCTGGCAATAATGCATGCATGGCAGGCCGTGCGCGTCCCGATTCAATATATATCATTGACCTCTACGGTCAGTGAAATATACATGTACTTTCGCACAGTATACAATACATCCCATTTAAAATATATGTGATTCCTTTTGAAATTGTGTTATTTATAACTTAAAAGTACTAAAAAACATTAAATGTGAGTGAATATTTTTGTATTGTTGTCCCACATAGCGAAATATTTGTTATAACGAAACGTCCAAAATCAATCCCGGATTTTTCCCCCTATAAAGCTAGTTTCGTAGACAGAAATTGTATTTTGTTATAAAAAAAACGTTTATAAATATATATATGATGTTCATATAGTCTATACCTCAAAATTTGTCTTACATTTGTTTAAAGGGATAGTTGAGTTCTGTTGCAGAGGGCGCTACACAAAATAATTTTGTTGTGAGATAATTCAAAAACGAGTGTCAAATTTGAAAGAACATAATATTTAAATGACAAAATCATCTTTGTTTAATAAAAAACGGTTCATAGACGGCTGAAATAACAATTTCTCATACTTGTGTACCACCACAAATATTAGATATTTTGAATAATTTGAAAAAACCGTTGAAAAAACGAAATAACGCCTTTTACGTCGTATTTCAACCAATGCCGATGTTGGCTTTTTCGTTCAGTTGGCATTTTCGTGTTGCTTATATTACGCACGACTAGCCGGCCCATGTATTGTTATTTTTAATTAAATAATTAATTTACGGTCACCGTGTTTTTTTTAAGTGGACCTGAATTGGCATCATCGTATTGGCTAAATTTTACACATTTTGGGGTTTAAATTTACCTTCATAGCAATTTTAGGTTTTAAAGGGGAACTAGAAATGTCATAGATAAGAATAAGAGCAATAACCATGTACTTTGAAGGCATTTGCGGTCTGAAAACAGAACTCAACTATCCCTTTAAATGAATTATATTATTATACGATGCCATTGATGCAATCAATTTCTGTCTCTTAAATGAAACTAGCTTGGCCATGGTTTTGCATGTTGCGTTTAACAAATACATCGGTATGTGAAACCATAGTAAATATATTCACTCACATTTAATGGTTTTAAGATACAATATAAACTACACATTTCTAAACGGAATTAGATATATTTGTGTAATGGGATTACATTGTCCTTGATAAAAATTCGGGACAGAAAAAAAAAATACTAAGAAACATATTACGTACCAATTTGGTCACTAGCGGTATGATGGCTAAGGGAAAACACAACTTATTGTAAAATTGGTTACAGCTTACAATAAGTCTTTCAGAAAGTAGCCCCCTGTTTTCAAAAGTAGCCCCCAATTTTCTTGAAGTAGCCCCTTAGTTTTTGAAAAGTAGCCCCCATAAAAAAAAGTAATTCCTAGCCTGTCTTAGCTTCATAAGTAGCAAACCTTTTTCGTTATAAATGGATGAATCTGAGAAACGAAGCTTTGGTATCATTCCGAATAATAGATGATGTCTCTTTCCAGTTCACAGTAAAAGCCTATTCAGACATGGAGATGGTAGGGAGAGAGAGAGTGAACAAAATCTTTACAAAATGATAGGTATTGTAGTCCTCACATTTCTGTGTAAGATCTGGTAATATGTATCGCGACTGTTTTTTAGTTCATAGCTATGTTTTTATTTGCATCTTGCCATTTGTTAGCAGAGGGCGCTACGAATAAGAGCAATAACCATGCACTTTGAAAGCATTTGCGGTCTGAAAACAGAACTCAACTATCCCTTTAAAAGTTCTGCTTTGCAATCGCCATTTTTAGGCAGCTTACCATGTGGTGTCTAACTAAACAAGGCCTAGTATAGGATATTACACAGTGTAATTTGAACTTGCATATTTCTTCTTTGGTCTCTGTCTCTCTCTCTCTGTCTCTCTCTCTTCTTTATCTCTCTCTCTCTCTTTATGTCTCCATTTATTTCCTCTGTTCTTTATTGTCGCTGTTCGTATATCCACCTTCTCACTGTACATCATACTCTATCTCAATCCTGCTTCTCCTTATTTTACGTTGGTCGACAGTCTATGGGTTCCTTAAAAGAGAGGTCTCGAGGATCACCCCTTGTCAGTCTAAAAGGCCCTGCTCATCTTAGTACCATAGGGACACTCCCAGATCCAGGCAGCACACTAAGTTCTACATCAGAGGTAAGTTAGTTCGCTTTGAGGGGCATAGTTAACCCTTTCAAGAGAGAATGCATTGATAGGGCTAACATATTGTTCTACATATTGGCAATAGTAATATTATTATTAATTTATTGCTAAGTTTTACATCAGGGGTTAGTATTAAGTATGCATAAATTGACTGCATTGAGGAGCATAGTTAACCCTTTCACGACAGGATTTATATGTACGGCTAAATTAATTACTGCTCTTCAAATTGGCAACAACATTATTTTTCTTTTATCGCTACAATGAAATAATAACATGCAATGTCTCTGAAAACAATATACCTGGGGGACAATGTTGTCAACATGTTTTAGAAACGGCCAGTTTTTATCGAAAAACTATGACCTTTAATCTCTCATTGCATTGCCAATTTAGTTTTTCTTGTTCTTCAAATATATTCATGGAACAAAAATGGATGCAGTGTGTGCAGAATTGTGTTTCTTTCTACTCCTTTATCTGGTATATTTGTTCTGAATTTGCTCTGAATCAAAAGTTATTGAGCCAAGCCACAAATTGTGGAATAATTGTATTGATAAGCGTTACAATTATTACCCAATATGATTTCAAGATTGTGCCATTCCTGTTGATTAACACTACATAAATAGCTGTTTGAAATTCCAATGCTTCTCCCAATAGATATTTGAGGTTCTGTATTTCATGAGTTGTTATGAGTTGTTATGGATGTTTCAGAAATGTTTCTGTAGAGCCACATGTTTTTACATCCAATCAGGTTGGTTATCCTCGCAGATCATTTAAAACCGTTTATAACCAACTTTGCGTGCAAGTTGTTATGGATAATTCTGAAATGTTTCTGTATAGCCACATGTTTTACATCCAATTAGTTTTAGTCAGGTGGCTTAGCGTCAAATTTATCGATTACCATTACATGCCAGATGAAAGCGCTATTTTTGGTACAAAGCTTCCTTAGGACCTACCGAACCATGTTAGGGTAGGAGCCCCCAGCAAAAAAAAAACAATTTAAGGGTTTGGGGGCAAGGTCGTCGTCCCGGAACCCCAAAACAAGGTGAAGTAACATTGATTTGTAGTTGTACAAATGTAGTTTTTTGGCACAAGGGCTTCCATAGGATCTAGTAAATGGTGTTCGGGTTGGAGCTCCCAACAACTATAGCAATCACAGAGAAACGAGGTACAGGCTACATTAAACACATAAGTGGATAATTGGAAAATGGTGAACACACTAAAAGCCAGGTCTTTGGCTTTTTAGTGTGTGTTCACCTAGTTTTTTTTAAATATTTGTTTTAAACATTATTATTATAAAATTTAGACATCGGTCAAACAATACATAAAACATAGAACATGAAAACATAAACATGGAAACATTATAAAAAAATATATAATAGCATCAAACAGTATTGTATGGTTCTACAGGATAATTAAAGAAAATATATTTAACAAATTAAAAGTACTTAATATGAACAGATACTTATATTGCCTCCTGAATGTATTATTAAATTAAATATTGAATTGGTTACATTTTACATCATTGTAAAGAATTGGACCCGAATGTCTTAGAGAGTATCTTGAATAATCATTATTATATGTCCACCGATGGAATTTGTTTGCATTTCTTGTAGGATAACTATGAATCTGAGAATTTAAAGAAAACGTATTCATTTCATATAAAGACAGAGTGTGGGTATTAAATCTTTGCATAAGGGGACATATGTGTAGTTTGTTTATATCTAACTTAAGTGTACATAATTTCTTAAATAGTGGGGATGAGGGTGTCATATAACTTGAATTAGTACATATACGTATTGCTTTCTTCTGTAATATAATTAGTTTGTGTAAGTGTGTAGAATAAGTATTTCCCCAAACAGTATTGCAGTAAGAAATAGCGGATAAAATAAACGTATTGTAAATATTAAATAAGACATATATAGGTAAAATATTTTTCAATCGATACATAATTCCGACATAACGTGCAACCTTTAAGCATACAGAAGTAATATGATCCTTCCAATTCAAGGATTCATTCAAAGTACCATTCAGCTTTACCTGACTTGGGGCCTAGTCCATTCCCAAATATGGATGATATAGTAGTCACATGCAAAGGGGTCACCAAGCTGCTGAAACGCTTAAAACCTCACATAGCAACATGGCCAGACGAAATCTCTGCCAGAATGTTGAAGGAAACCGCCGAACAGATCTCCCCTGCGATTACCCTGCTTTTCCAAGCCTCCCTTCATCAAGGATGCGTTCCATCGATGTGGAAGAAGGCACTTGTAGTTCCCATCTACAAGAAGGGCTGCAAGTCACCCCCGGGTAACTACAGGCCGATTTCGCTGACTGCGATCTAACGCAAGCTGTGTGAGCATGTTGTTCACTGTGCAATTATCCACCACCTCATCCATCATGACATTCTATATGACAATCAGCATGGCTTTCGGAAGTGCCGTTCTTGTGAAACACAACTGATCCTCACCGACCTTGCTAGAGGACTGGAAGACAAGGGTCAGTACGATGTTATCCTACTAGACTTTGCTAAGGCCGTTGACAAGGTATCTCACAAACGACTCTTTCTCAAAGCCAAACATTGTGGTATACACGGCCTTACTCTTCAGTGGATCGAGAACTTCCTGACTGGCCGTACCCAACAAGTCATACCGGAGGGCCACCTCTGAAGCCAAGGCCACATCTGGCGTACCCCAGTGTAGCGTCCTAGGTCAATTGTTATTTTTGATCTACATCAATGACCTACAATATTGCATTAGGCATTCAACATAACGCCTTTATGCTGACGACTGTCTGCTCTACAAACCAATCAGGTCGACCCATGACTGTGACAAACTGCAAGAAGATCTAGACAGGCTCCAGGACTAGGAGCAGACGTGGAAGATGGAATTCCATTCCTCCAAGTGCCAGGTCTTGCGAGTGAACAAGAAGAAGAAGCCACTCCTAGGCCAATACACCATCCATGATCATCAGCTGGAGCAGGTCAACTCAGCCAAGTACCTCGGGGTCCACATTGATTAGAAGGTGAACTTCAATGCCCGTGTAGATGCCACAGTCAAGAAGGCAAACTCTATCTGTGCCTTCCTGCGCCGTAACTCTCGACACTGCAACCAAAAGATCAAGGAGGCTACGTATGTCACATACACTAGGCCCATAGTGGACTATGCTGCAACAGCATGGGATTCACACACCCAAAGAAACATCAACAAGGTCGAAATGGTTCATCGCAGGAGTGCGCGGTACGTCTGTGGTGACTACGATCGTACCAGCAGTGTTACAACTATGATGAACAAACTAAAATGGCCCTCGCTAGTTAGTAGACGTCTGCAAAGCCATCTTTCAATGCTGTATCGCATCCGCTTTAGTCTTGTTGACGTTGAATAGCAACAATACCTAAATGCAGCAACATCTGTCACAAGAGGTCACGGATCCCGCTTCAGAATGACACTGTGTACTAGCCAAGCCTACATCAGCTCCTTCCTTCCCAGAAATACCAAGGACTGGAACAACCTGCCAGTTGATCCAGCCTGCTCACTCTCCCTTGAGGCATTTAAGTCCTCACTGGGAAAGAAGCACCCCTACCTTCCCTCACGGGATGAACAGTTTTTACTCGCACCCTGTACATATATGCACAAGGATCCTGGCCAGCAGGCTCCTCACAGGCACACACAGTGCGCAATCTTCAAGGCCATGAAGCAGCACTTTTCTTGGAAGAAGACATGAGACCTTCGAAACTAAGTTGACATTAGATTATCGATAATCTTTCCTGTGGCAAATGTTACCAGTTGTATAAATAAAAGTAAACAACACAACCATTCCTGTATTAATTCGGATGAATGTTACATTATTGTCCATGCAAATTATTTAAATATATTTATATATATTTCTAATCAAATATTCTTTTTGACATTAGATAATCCTGTACAATTTCTTCCTGTAGCAGATGTCAACAATCTTAGTAGTTGGAAAAGTCAACAACACAGCCGATCTCATAATTGGTCGGATTAATATTAAATAAATGTTGTTTTGAAGAAGAACCAACAAAAAATTGTGTTTATCATCAAGTGCAAATTGTTCTCCAATGATTAAATTGTGCAACATGACAAAACTAAACCTTTTCCTGAAATTACATAGCAGAATTGCAAAGTCTAAACGATACAAAGAAAAGGTTTCCAATGAAAGTTTAGAGCTATGCTAAGCACATTATGTTTATTTTATTTTGGCTCTGATTCGATATCAGTGGTAATACAACTTTGTATCGACGTAGAGTGAAGTCCTTATAAATACAAACGGATTTCTCGCTGATCTTCCAAATCATAGAGTCGATTATTGCTGAAGTTTGAGGTGTGAAATATGTCAGGTTTGGAAGACTGTCAAAATATTGTTTTCTCTTCGGTACAACTTCACTCTATCAGGCAAGTAGGATAAGTATATCAATGATCTCAACCCCCTTATTCCTTGTAGCGCTGCCATTCAGATGAATAGTTAGGTTTAGTGTAGAGGTTGACTTTGCAGCCGGCAACAACAATTTTGGTCAACAAATTGTTTTACTTTCTGAATTTGTAAGCTTTTGTTGCCAAGATGCCTCTTTCGGCTTTCAGTGCCGGGGGTTTGTCGGTGCGTACACTGATCCTTGCGTTGACTTGATCACTTCCAGGACGTTGTGGCCTCCTTTCAAATGCAGATGGCAACCGATTCCTCTGGGCCATGTATACAATTTGGCGATGATCAGTTCAGTCGCGTTTGTCGTGTTGTCACGATTCTTGGATGGAAGGCGCGCGGTGGGCGTTGGCAAGGGCAACGGATTGCGCCTCTCCCTCGCTCAAACCAAGGGCTATGAAAGCTTCGCGTAACACATTCAAAACTTTCTAATTTTCCTACTTTAGCAATCCGTAGAACAGGAGATTTGATTTTCTTTGATATATCTCCGATAATAATAGCTTTTCCTTGAGAACATCGATTTCATTTTGCAACTTTTTTTTTCCATTTGCGGTAACTTTTCTTTCTCGATATTTAGCATTCTGGCGGAGTTATCTTCAGCTAACACCTCCAAATCTGACATTTTGTGTTCATTGTAGATATATCAGCGTGAATGGTATCAAGTTAAGAACACACGTGATTTGAGAACTCGTTGAAAGATTTTTGGAGGTCAGCAATCGAAGACTCCATAGCTGGCGTGTTATCAGACTGCGTACGTGGCGTTTGAGTGTGTAGTAGGTCTACCGTTGATGGGCGTTGACTCGACGGCACTGGTACTGGTAGTACGTTGCTTATGGCCTTTACTTCTCAATTCGTAAGCTTTCTTCATGAGGCCGTAAAACATATATCGGAGGCGTGAAATGATGCACAAAACGTTGAATTAGTATTATGATCAGTTCATTACTTTAAATAATGGTTCCAGACGTAGAAAGTAGCATTTTAAAGATGTAACGGTGAGAGCTCAAAAATGGCGCTACCTCTCCATTCCGCTACGCATGCAATATTAAGGAAGGAGCCCCTGGCAAACCATTTACATAAGTGTGAAGGGAGCAGAGGTGTTGTCCTGGAGCCCCCATATCATATACGATGCATATTCACGTTGATTGTTGTTGGTCCATTCGGGAGTTGCATATTTTAGATGTTGCAAGAGCAACAGAACAGAGGTAAATCAATCAGGCACCCTCTCTTTTTGAAAAGGAGGAACTGAACAGCAAATATGCTATAACATGCGCAGCAAACCATGCAGCTAATCAACCGGCAATTGAATACCCACCAGCTAAATCTGCACTACTACCTCTGTTCTATGACAAGTCTACTACGCCAGCAATTATCAAGCATGGGATGGATGTCAGTGCAGGACCAAGTCAATGCCCTTTCTGCAACCATCAGGCCAATGAGTAATCCAATTATGGATGAGTTTGATGATCTGAAAACGCTTGACAGTCGCAAATGCACAGACAGAGCTGTTATAACTGGAAGAGACTGTAAAGAAACAGTACCAAGAGTTTGTCAAGCCCGTGCTTGATGAGCGCCCCCACTCAATCCACGATCCAATCAAGAGAAATTCACTGGCGCTCTTCATGAAATACCACTGCAAGATAGTTCAGAAGAAAGACAAGAAGATCAAAGTGCTTTAGAACACTGTAGCACTATTTGGCTAACTGTACATCGTGACAGTAACTTAGATACATTCTTCGCGCATGAGATACAGTCCTTCCCTCCTTTGCTCTCAGACTTCAGTAATCTACGTCTACCAGGTACAAAGTCTGACCTGCTGCATTGCCTTGATGAGTAGCGTGACCAACCAGAGCCACCATCAGCATATTGCTGTAAAGTCTTCGATGGAGCCGTCCACTGTCTGCCTGAATTCGACTTCAGTACATTTTATGGATACGCCAATAAAGTTTTCATTCCATATCTCGATATTAAAGCGACTGCAGACTACCAAGAGATTAGATCTTGTGTGGGACACTAATGCATTCAAGACAGTTTGAAAGAGTCTATACCCGTGAAAAAAAGAGGAACTGGCGTCTGTTTGAAAGTGTCTGGCTAGACCAAGCTTCCAGGCAGGTGGATGGATTTTCTCTGTGACCCAATCAATAAGAAAGAACTGTTTGCCTTTTTTACATCCAAAGTAAAAGAGTTCCACTGCCCACGTGGCAGAGACGTGTTTGTCTCATCATGAGAAACTGTGTCATCTGTCGGATCTAGCATCGTGGTAAACTGCACTCACGAAGAAGCCGTCACGATGATTGTGGTTCAAATCATGCATGCACTGATGTTGTTGTTGTCCTTGTCGGCAAATTATATGATCTCCTCAAGACTCAACCGTTAACTGACATCTGGGTGGCATTCGGTATGGGTAAGAAATACAGATACGATCCACATCAATATCATTTGTGGGAGTTTGGGCGAGTCAAAGTCACTAGCTTTCCTGTGTTATCACACTCATGTTCGGGTTGCGACACGACATCGGCATATTTTCATGGCAAGGGAAATAATTCAGTCTGGCAGGCTTGGAGAGTGTACGATGATGACACAGAAACTGTCTAGCCAAACATCCTTTTCAGAAGACGACCGTCAACTCTGAGCCTTTCTAGCTTCTTGAAAAGCTGACCGTTGTGTTGTACGACAAATCGAGTCCATCAAACTCTATCAATGAGACACGAAGAAGCCTCTTATGCTACAAAAAATCGATCGAAGGAAAAACCGCCACCCCGCAGAAACGGGCCGTTTTTCCAGCAGGAATCTGAACATCAAGTACGAAAGCTAATCAAGATGTTCCATCTCCACAGGACTATGGATGGACCAAGGAATGGGGTCTTGGTTACCAGTCTGGATGACAATATCGGATGTGTCTAAAGCATGTCAGGAATTGGTCAAGTATTCATGCGAAGGAAACTGTTCTACCTGCGCATATAGCAGGTAAAAACTTTAGTAAGCAACAACATATAAGAAAATGTGTTCATCAATTTTATTCAAACTTATATATTAAAAAAGAAAGACAACACGATTTAAAAAGATATTTTATTGATTTACCCAATCCTGAATTGACCGATGAATTGGCAGAATTATGTGAAGGACAATTATCAGAAAAAGAATGCCAGCAAGTTATTTCTGAGTTTGCCAAAAACAAAGCGCCTGGAAGTGATGGCCTGAATATTGAGTTTTATCAATTTTTTTGGACAGA